GCACCTTGAGCTGAGCTGCCACCCGGATGGCTCAGTGGATAGAGTGTGCGCTCTTAACAACAAGGCTGCTGGTTTGACTCCTGTATGGGATGGTGGCTATGCCCACCCACAACTAAGATTGTAACACAGCACCTTGAGCTTAGAGCCCCGAGCTGCTGACGGGCAGCCAGATGGCGACTGGCGCCCTCTACAACTAAGATTAAAGAACAAAACTTGGTTGGTCCCCCTCACCAGTTCCCCAACACTGTTCCCTTCACCCAATTAAAACAAAACAAAACTAACACAAGGAAAAAGAGTAATTAATTAAAAAAAAAGTTTGTTTAGTTCATAGTGTATCTCAAGAATCATAAGCACCATGTGTGCCAGTAGTTTTATGAGAGAGAGGTAGATGGGGCAGGAAGAAAGGTAATGTGAAGGGGGTTTCTCTTACACATACAGATGTCCCCACTTTGGTAAACACTACCCTGTATTTGGAGAATCTCACTCCATCTATCTCTGCTGGTTGTCTAGGCGTTAAGCTCTTCACCATGGGATTTGTGAATGGGATAGAAACTTAACATGTGCATAAAATATTGTGTTTTCTTTAAAAGGTGCTGCCCTGGAGCAAAGCCCCCATTTCATAACCTAGGTATAAGTGGGTTTTCATTCCTAATGTGTATGTGGGGTGTCATTTCTGAGAGAGCAAAAGATAGGCTCACTCATGGTGCTTATAATGCACCTTTGGGGGAAATTAAAGTAAGTTTTATTGACAGATGGTTTTCAGTCTGTCTCAGTCATTTCTTCTCCAATTGACCTGAGATGGAANTGATTAACAATGTTTGCTTTGATACAGAAGTTTCTGGGCCCATTTAAAAATCTGTGGCAGAGGCTGCAAACTGGCAGCTCTTCAATGAATTTGGCTCACAGATATGTGTTGTTTGGCTTGTACAGTATTGGTCAAACATAAGATTTGGATTAGCATTTCACTCACAGCCACAACTGGCTGGGATTGAGTAACATCTGTACCTTATTGACAAAGAATGTGGTCTCCAGTTTGTCACAGTTCCCACTGTTCCCTATTGTGTACCAACCATAAGGCCAAACGTTGGCTACCATATCAACTGTGCTTGTGCTTTTGTTTTTCTTACACCTGCTCTCCCCCATGCACTGGTGATGCTTCTCAGGCTGCAGTGAGTATTTCATGATAGACTAAATTTAAAAGATATAAAAATGTTGAAAATATCTGCCTTATCACTTGTTAACATGGCCGTTTCCTTAATTTAGTGTCTTCATTGGCTCCTCTGGCATGGAGCTGATATTACCCAAGCCACTATGAGAGGCTGGACAGCAGCTCACATAGCTGCAATCAGGGGTAAAGATGCTTGTATGCAGGTAATAATAAATTTGTTTAATTTTAAAAAATTCAAGTTTAATTACTTTAGCATAGTTCTGATAAAGTACTGTTTTTGTTCTAATAATTTGATCCCATAGATTTACTTCTGTATTCTAAACAAAAATTTACTGGGTTCTATGACTTAGATATTTTGGTATCAACTGTCTACTTAAATAAATGATATGAGACCCTTTTCTCTTTGAAGTACTTGGTTATCTGTTTGCATTGTTTTAAGGAATGTCACAGTCATACCCAGATTATCTTTTTTATAGCTTGCCATGCCTAAATCCCTTATTTAATGCATTTCTTGGCCAGAATAACACATTAATATGTGGCAGGATCTACATTGTTAGAGTAACTAAATTTAACTAATATATTAAAATACACTGGAATTTGGAGAAATACAAAAATAAGGAAATAGTTCCTGCATATCAGAAGCCTGAGATCTATTTGGAGTAACAGGACCTCTACTCAGTGAGTTAGAAAACAATACAAAGCACAGTTTATGATTAAGGTTCTAATGAAAAGTATAGATGAGAAGAATTATAGACCTTAGGAGGAGGTAGAAGAATCATAAATGGCGGAAATCTAAGCCTAAAAGAATGAGTTGATTTCCAAGAGGTAAGGAAGCATCGTAGGCAGGGAATATGTCAGGAGCAAATAAAAATAATGATTATCATTTGTTGAACCTTTTTAATGTGTCAATCACAGTCTCCCATACATTACCTCATTTAATACAACAATCTTATGAGTTCCCCTTTTTACAGATTAGGAAACATATTAAAGAGTTAAGTACCTTGCTAAGTAAGTGACAAAGCAAGAATTTGAACCTAGACTTTGTCCTGTTAACTTCTATGCTATAATTTTTTGTGAAGTCCCTGAACTAGAAGAATGAGGTGTGTTCAGGGGATATACTGTTATATAAATTTGCGTGTAGATAGTTTGTTGTGTGGACTGTTATGAACTAAGTTTGGATAAGCTAGATTTGTAAAATGTCTTTGAAGTAGAATAAAGATTTTAAATTCACGTGTATAGGAAAGACGTTTTATATACACACTACATGTGTAGATATACTTATGTACATACACATACATACATACACATGCATATAGACATTAACAGGAGAATGAAGTAACAAAAGGAGTATGGAAGGAAATTATTCTAGTGAAATGTTTCCAGGATTACCTAGAATGAAGAGAGAGTGGAGGCAAGAAGACCAGTTGTAGACTTTTGGTATAATCACTAACCATAGAGGGTGTAATTAGGTGGTGGCAGTGGGAAGGAAACAGTGATTCAAGACATCTTCCAAAGTGGCCATTGACAGATTATAGCGAGAATTGAAAGTTTTGCGTCAGAATGATGGATAATTATGAAACTATAGCTAGGGGAATCTGAAAGGCCGGGGAGACTTGGGAGGAAAGATGTTGAGTTCGATTTGGCACATTTTGAGTTGAAGGTGCCTGTAGGTCATTCATTGCAGAAGGTCCAGGCAGTTGAAAGGGGGCTGGAGACAAAGATTTTAGGAGTGATAAAGTATAGAGAAGAGTATAGAGTATTGAGAATTGAATGCTGAAGAATGTTACTATCAGGGATGCGAGGGGGCAGAGAAATGAGTAAAGAATTTGGAGGAGAAAGAGAGGACAGCCAGGACCCATTAGGGCTGTGCAAGGAAGAATTTTAAGAATTAGGCAGAGTATCAGTTACAGGATACAACGGAGGGGAATAAAGCTTAAGGAAATGCTGTTGAACTTGAGAGCTCTTTAGAGAGGGAGGTTGGCTGTATTTCTATGTAATGGTGGGAATGGCACCCAGTTTGCAGTTGGATTTGAAGTTGAGGTATTAATTTGAGAAGTAGGCAGTGAAAGGAGGAGAAAATAACAATAGTAAATTTAGGGGACATCAGGGTCAAATAAATCTTTGCTTGATGCTTTCCTTCCTCTAAGCATTATTTCAAGCCATTCCCTCTGCCTTGATTGTCCTTTTCTTCACAAAGTGATCTCTTCCTTCTCAGAGCGGTTGTGGTGCTTTTTTTTTTTTTTTTAGTATTATACTGTGTAGTTGTTGCTTATCAAAGACAGCTTTGTATAGTTGATTATCTTTGTCTCTACAATATTCTAATTCCCTTAGTTGATATGTTTTCATATTTTTTGTAGAGACTTTTAAAACACAGTAAGCACTTAATATATGATTTGTGATGATTACTAATCATAATGTGAGTCAGACAAAATCATGGAGACTATTCTTCCTAAAATAGGAATTATGACTGAGTAAACTTTTGCTAAGATACTGGTAAATGTAGACTGGTTAAAAAAGAAAAAAACTTGAGGTAGAAAAAAACCTTAAAAAAATTAATAATTCTTTTAAAGCAATTACTCTATATTATATAGAGGGTTGTGCTGTGTAAATGATATAACCCATATGCAGAAATTGGGCCAATTGTAAATTCAGATGGAATCTCCTCAGATGCAATTAGAAATGTGATTTGGAGCTTAGAACTAGTTACTTTAATAATGAAATCCTTTTATTGTATTCAAAACCCAGTTAATAAAAGATTCTGCTTTTGAAGTAGTGGAAGTTTAAATTTCAGTTTTATTAGTTTAGCATCAAAGTATTTAAATTAGTGGCTCTTAATCAGTGCTCA